GAGACAGATTTGAATCAATGGCCACCATCCTCACTGTCATTAATCTTATTTTCTTGGCTGGATTCTTTTCTCATTTACTTTCTACTTCTGTTTAAAGATAAGAGAGAGAGAGAGAGAGACAGAGAGAGAGAGGGAGGGAGAGAGAGAAGAGAAATGGGGTTTAACATCCACTCGACACAAACTAGGTCATTTCAAGACTAACACATGGTTCAATTTTATATTAATAATTTGCTTGCGCGTGGGAGGAAATTGGAGGACCCGTAGAAAACACACAAGTTTGAATAGACTACCATACTCCTTGCCACATACAACCGGGGAATTGAAACCACTGACTCAATGACAGACCTTATGATACAGCGTGCACATGCTAACTATTCGGCCATCCAACCCTCTTAAAGCTAAGAAAGATGAATACAACATATTGTCCTCATGACCAATGTTTAAAAGGTGTTGTTGCACTTTCACACGTTATTTATTATTCGTCAATCAACATATCTGGAAATAATGATTTTAGTCGTCCCCGATAAAATATTTAATCTTTTGTAGGAATATGGGCGTGTTTAGAAGAAAATTCAATACAGATCAAATTATAAAATTCATTGTATGGGGTTTTACAAGCTTCTACAAACTGAAACAACAGCCTTAACTTACAGAAATTGTTGAAATTCAACAAGCCTTTTGTTATACTAATTTAACTTCATACAGATCAGATAATAACTTTTGTCATAGGCCAATCACAAGCTTCAACAAACTAAAACAAGAACCATAACACAAGTAATTGACGGAAAGTACTGATAACTCTATAAGTAATTAACAGAAATTGCTGAAATTCAATCGGCTTCTTTGTTTTATTAATCTAAATGATGCATATAAATTTCATACAGATAGGATGATAATTTTTGTCGTTAGAGCGTTCACAAGGTGCAACAAAGTGAAACAAGGGCCATCTGGAAGAAATTAAGCAAAATTAATGAAATCAAATAGGATTCTTCCTGTCACTAATGACATATATCAATTTCAAAACAATCAGATAATAAATGTAGTCTGTAGAGTAGTGTTCACAAGAAATTGTGTCCTAACCCTAACCCTTACGACTGGGTGCAACGGCAATATACAATCACATTTCCATATAAGTGAAAGACAAAATGACACCAGAAGAATTGTACTAACAAAGACTGAATTTCATATTCGTGAAACAATGGCCCAAGAAATCCCTCTCTGGCCCTTGTTGGATTTACTTATGATACTTGGGCTTTTGAGGGAGTGTGTCTATTTTTCCGTTCAATCAAATAGTACAGCTATATGACAGCCCTTCTTTTAATCTGGGGTCTTCCCTAAAACTTTGGACAGTGACTTAATGTATTAAAAACGATGAAAGTATTCTTCTTCTCCATACAGTATTGTTTACATTGTATTCGTGTTGATAGCCTTGTTTGTCACGCAATTAGTTGTTCTTCAATATTATGCTATGCCTTGGTTAATTGGGCATAAAAATTTCATAAGTCATGAGTAACGCTATGTAAATAACAAAAAAGAGAATCCCCAGCAACAGACTTCACAACACTGTGTAGATGGTTTTAAAAATTATATTCTAAGTCCAGTACATGTTTCGGGCTAATAGCCCTTCATCAGCCCTCCTTCATTATCGTGTGTGGGGGTTTTATCGTCCTCTACTTGGATTTGCTACGTAAATAATGTGGAGCTTTGTTTAAATCCGAATGACATTGTTATGTAGTTAAGTATTGGTTGTTAATCGGACTATTGACCAGTCATAATTTGGAACAGAAATTGGCTATCATTATGGCAGTGCTTGAGTGGGATTAGATCTAATCAAACGAAACACTGCTAGGAGTGTGACTGAATTTGTGACTGACAATGACTGTGATTGGTGAATTATTTCCAGCCATGTTGAACATATTCAATGATCGGATCCAGAAGTTAAAAATAAAAAGACTAAATGATTCGGTAGCGATGTGCGAAGAATTTCAATTGTAGTGATAATTAAGCTGTTTACTGGCGAAAAAGTTCTAAAAGCTGTGTAATGCAGCATGCGGAAAAATTCTGCTATGAATTTCTTTCTAAGCTAAAGAATCTATCATCCGTATAAATTGTAGAATATTAATAAATCAAGAAGAAAGAAAGAGAGAGAGAGAGAGAGAGAGTGATGGGGTTTTACGTCCACCTGACACAAACCAGGTCACTTCGGGACTAACATGGTTTAATTTTATTTTAATAATTCGCTTGCACGTAGGGGTCTTTAGCAGTGGGAGGAAACTGGAGGATCCGGAGAAAACCCCTGTGGTTGGAAAAGCAACCCTACTCTTTGTCACATACAACCGGGGAATCGAAACCATGCCAGCTGACTCAATGACAGACCTTATGATACAGTGACAGACCTTATGATACAGTGCGCACATGCTAACTGTTCGGCCACCCACTCCCGCTACAAACTAAGCAATATTTGCATAAAAACAATTATCACTTATGAGCAATTATTAAACAGGACACATGTGCAGTTCTTTGGTGATAATTAATTTTGAAAAGTCTGTTGATTTCCAAAGCTACACGTTTCTTCTAGTCGATCACCACACGAGAAAATTTCCACATAGAAAAATGGTAGCATGATTAGCTATAGGCTACCAGAAAGATAGAAGACAACTTGTCTAATTCCACTTAATATATGACATAATCTTGTATATCACCTCACAATTTTAATAAATTAAAAGATTACCATTTCTGATTGGTGTTCGAGGAATTATGAATCACTTGCAAACTACGATGTTGTTAACTCCATCATTTTAATACCAATGAATATAGTTGCAGCTATATTATACATAATTATTAAGTGGCATTTAGCGATTGGGAAACATATTAACAGAACACAATTTTTAAGGGAAACAATCACTAGCTTTGTTCTAAAAGCACGACATTTCGACAGGTTTAGTCGTATCATTGTGCTTGATAACGATAAGAGGATACTTGTCGAAACGTCACGCTTTTAAAATAACACCAGTGATCGTTTCCCATAGAAATTGTTTTCTGTTAATATATTATACATAATTCTTTCTGCTGAATAATTACCTCCCAAACAACATACCTACCAAATTTGGTTTAAATTCATTAAGTGGTTTAGGATTTGATGGAAAAGGAGATACGCAGGCATGATATGGGGGAAACACAGAGCCTGTCTGAAGTTACTCAACTTTGTATTATAGAAGGAGTTGTTTCCCTTTAAGCAGATCTCACAAACATTTTCCAGTCATCAACACATTTATTTCTCTTTGACAATTACCAATAAAGTAATACACAACATCTACAAACTTTTGGGTACAAGCCGATCCATCTATGATGTGCTGGCCCCTGGATCCATTCAATTGATTTGATATGTGTTGTTTATTTCTTACAATATGTGTAGTTTGTGTTTTGTCCGCAGGTTTGTGAAAGGAAATGAAATGGGGTTTAACGTGCTACTGTTCTGCCTCTACTGGGCTAATGAAGACGGGCATACGCCATACAGTGTGCTATGAGGGAAATTTTGCCCGGACAGCGGCACTACGGCCTACTCTTATATCAAATTTTGCCCGGGCAGCAGCACTATCGCCTACTCTTATATCAAATTCCAACTGCCAGGGGATCTTTTACGTGCGTTCCAATATATACACATGGGACCTCGGTTTTTCGTATCATACGAAGGACTAGACAGCTGTCCTTGTCAGGCCCGCAGGTTTGTATTCAGGGCTGTAACTAGCTCAGAGCAACGAAGGGGCAAAAAGTGTTCTCAGGGGTGCTGAAAATTGACGGACAATGTATGTCTATTGTTTTTATGATCGACAATTTTTTCACAGGGGGGGGGTGAAACTTTTTGAAAGTGGGGCTATGCCCCCCCCCCCTTTAGTATTATCAGTTTTGTTTGCATGTAGTGTTGTCTTTTTGCACTAACTTTTACATAACAAATATGACGATACTATGAATCAGGAACGTGCCATCAATCACAGAACAAGCATGCTAAGTCTCATGTTGATTTTACTCAAATTGGGGGAGTCTGGGGCTTTTTTTTGAAGAGCGTCTCCTACGAACAAGATTCAGTATATTGATTTTAATTTTGTTTAAAAAAAAAAAGAACAAAAAGGTGTGAGAATTATTTTCATTGAGGTCAAAAAATATGTAACGTCATTGATTAGACACGTCATAGAGATATTTCTATGAGACCCATATTCTCGTGAGATGGTAAGTTGGCATGCACATTGCCAGTTTTTCCCTAGTGTATCCGGTTCTGGTCTGAATATTTTAAATGCTTTAGAGCTTTGCTCTATATTAAATATATATTTTGTTGTTTTGCCAATTTTTCAATTAACCCAACAAAGGTTATGTTATATGTTTTGCTGTTTTTGAAAATTAATGTACATGTTTTATATTTTTAATTTATCTATGATTTTAACATCATCATTTATCTTAATTTAATAAATGACATATTTGTACCATTAAGCAGGTGGTGGGTTTTTTTTTCATTGTTATTGGGGCAAACAATCATATCGTAATCGTTTACGTATTCGTATTTGTATTTAAGGGGGAGAGAGCTAGAGAGACATGGGATTGAATGTCCGCTTGACACAACCAGGTTATATTGGGACTAACATGGTTTAATTCTATGTCAATAATTCACTTGCACTTAAGGTTCTTCAGCAACAACCTTTAGGTACAATCTTGGGGCCGAAATCATGCCATTTGACTCAATGCAAAACCATATAATCTCAAGAAGGCACATTAGACCATTTCATCACCCAACATGTATTTAGGGAGAGACAGGTTTAACGTCCACTCGACACAAAATAGGTCATTTTATTTCAATAATTCACTTGCATGTTGGTGAGTATTTAGCTGAGGACCGAGAGAAAACCCACGATGATGGACAGGCGACACAATAACTGACCTTATGCTCCAACGTACACACATTAAATCATTTGGCCCACCCTCCTTGTATTTTAGGATGAAAAACTTACCATCATATGTGGTTGGTGTAGTAGTTGTTTCAACTCATCACACTGTGTTGCATAGTTATCAGGACATTCTTTCACCAGACGTAAAACCTGCACAATATAAAACATTATTTACAACAAATGAAATGAAATGGGGTTTAACGTCCTACTGTTCTGCTCCTATGCTGGGCTAATGAAGACGGGCATATGCCATACAGTGTGCTATGAGGGAAATTTTGCCCGGGCAGCGGCACTATCGCCTACTGCCAAGGGATCTTTTACAGGCATTCCAATGTATACACGGAACCTCGGTTTTCCATCTCATCCGAAGGACTAGACAGCTGCCCTTGTCAGGCCCTCCATCCTGCACCACTGACAAGGGGAAACCACATCGGAAAATCCAGATGAACTTTCTCGGCCAATGCAGGGATCGAACACCCGACCTCCAGGCTAGGGAGCCAGCGTCTTAACCACCTAGCCACCGTGGCTCCTATTTAAAACAAGAGCAATATGCAACAATCAAAAATTTTTAAAACCATTTCAAAGTTCCTTGCACTTACTCAAGTTTATATATAATTTTGTTCTTAAAACAATTAAAGTCTCTGTTCTAACATTTAATGAAGAAATTTTTTTTTTATAAGAACGGTAGATAGAGGGAGAGAAATGGGGTTTAACGACCACTTGACACAAAGTGGGTCATTTTGGGACAAACATATGGTTCTATTTTATTTCAATAATTTGTTTACGCGTAGGAACCCTTGGGAGAAAACTGGAGGACCCGGAGAAAACCCACGAGGTTGGACAAACGACCCTACTCCTTGTCATGTACAACCAGGGATTGCAACCACGCCAGTTTACTCAATGACAGACCTTATAATACAACGCACATGCGCTAACCATTCGGCCATCTAACTTCCCTGTATTAATAAGAGACCTATAAATAGATTTTAGCGAAGATTATAGTTGGTGTTGGCTTTTGCCCATATCGTGCTGGCTTTTGACCATATCTCGTTTATATCGTCTGCAGAGAATGTTGACGAACTTTCGATTCATCTGATCTTTTAAGAAACTAAACATAATACTTGGAACCATTTTGGACTGACATTCGCTTGAGCGATTCAACTTTCACAATATTGTCATTTCAAGAGATTAAAAATCCTGTGAGTAATGTTCAGAGATCTTAAACATACATAATGCAAGAGCTAAATCTGCCTATTGCAGGTCTTTCTTTAGGCCTGAAATATTTTATAAACTATTAATTAGACATTTATTAACTTAGCCAGACCATAATCAACACTCGATGGCATCGGATTTCTCCGATATTAAATAGATTAGAACAGTTCAGTCATATTTTGATTTAAGCTAAAAATGGAGGAGCGGGACTTAGCTTAGAACAACCAGTACGGTGGTTGAAATTATTGCACACGTCTTGTCAAACCTTCAAAGGCTAATATCTTCGCTCGCAATAGAGTAATTTGAATGAAATTTTCAAATTATTCATTTTACATTATCTATGTTCAAACTATTATAGCAAGAATGGCTAGCTCTTTATCTAAATCTTACATAATGTATCTTTAACTACTGTAATAAACCATGATCAGATCTTGAAATTCATTACAGCATATTATGACAAAAGCCATAGTAATAGCTGAAGACAATTCAGTCTGCTACAGCAAAATCAAAGAAGGCTGGGTCAATGAAGAAATCTGTCCTGGATCATATGAGATGGACTACTAAAATCTGATAAATCATCTCTTTGTTACTATAGACTCTATTAATCTAGTATAGGACAAAATGTCATCAGCCAGTGCAAAAAGGCTGGGTTAACTATGCATGAAAATTGTAATTGAAAACAGAGGCGATAGACAATTGCTATGAGCTAAAGTCTTAATGGCATTTTAGATAAAGTCACTGATTTTTATTTTTAGTTTTCAGACAAAATCAAACTTTTCTCATTTTAATCTATGCTAAGATATAACCATATAGGCTTGAAAGATTGCACATTTTTGAATTTCTGATCAGTCCACCCCAGGATTTAATGCTGGACATTCAAGTCAAGGTTTCAATTCCATTAATGCTTGACTGCTCCCCCTGCCCCCACCCACAATAGCTTTATGTTGTGACCGGTGACATGAGTGAGGCAGGCATTATCGACTACACAGATGAGGAGTTCAAATGGCTAACAAATTTTGTTTTACTGTCTACAAATAATTTTAACATTTAGTATGCTTTTTTTAAAAAAAACTTCTGAAATGTCTGTTGTATTTGGAAATGTGAACTGACACTATAAGCATTATAAAAATATTAAAATTTTATTTCAAATGAGGAAAGAGATCTTCATTCCATAATGATCATGTGATTTTGCATTATTTCAGATTGAACAATAGTTTCAATACATACAGACTGTGGAGATTAAAGGGAAATAACTCCAACACAACAAGACCACAATACTTTTGATGGAAGTGGCAAGGCAGTCAGTAGATAATTTTAAATAAAAAGTGTCAACAAGAATTTTATTCCCACTTCATTCTCATTCTTCAGTTTACAAATCTGCATAATTTGTGCTGATTTCAAGAATTCATTCAATTTAATCAAGATATTTCTGTAACAAATATTGGAGGGTTGGATGGCCGAATGCTTAGCTCATGGTTAGGTCTGTCATTGAGTCAACTGGCGCAGTTTCAATTCCCCAAAATTGTACGTGACAAGGAGTCAAGGAGTAGGGTCGCCTGTCCAGTGTTGTGGGTTTTCTCCGGGTCCCCACTGCTAAAGACCCCTACACGCAAGCGAATTATTAAAATAAAATTGAAGAACCATATGTTAGTCCCGAAATATCGAGTGGACCTTTAACCCCATCTCTCTTACGATTACACCAATTTCTAAAATATATTTTACTTGTTTTTACACATAGAAACTATAAATTTAACAGTGTTTTACAATTAAAGCCTTTGAATTTTAATTTCTTGGCATTTCATTGCCAGTCAGTCAAAATTGGCAAATATGACTGAAATTAGAGCCCTGGTTTATAGTTGAACTGTACTATTAGGCTAACAAGGACAGGAATATAACATACAGTGTGCTATGAGGAAAAGTTTGTCCCCACAAGAGCGCTACGCCCTACTCTCATATCAAATTCTAACTGCAAAGGGTTCTTTTACATGCATGCCAATGTATACACAGTACCTTGGTTTTTCATCCCATCCAGACGACTATACACTGTCAATTGCCAGGCCTTCTGTCCTGCATCACTGACAAGGGGGAACTGGGGAACCCTGTTGGATAATCCTGATGATCTTTCTCTGCCAACACCGAAAACAAACAGGGGAGCCTCCCGATTAGCGAGCCAACGTCTTACTCACTGACCAACTGTGGCTCCTTTATAATTTGCGATTATTATTATATACCATATATAAATATAGCTTACCTCTTTTGCTCTATGGACAGCTTCTGATGGAGGTTTTCGTGATGGACTGAGCGATTTGGTGTTGATTTTGTCATATAACTGAAAAACATGAAAATGAATAAATTAAGAAATTTTTATACAAAGAGATATAGTATATTCATAATAATCTTAAAAAATTCATATATTAATTAGGTTTATTTTTATTTCATTTAATATTCATCTGTTTATCTAATGTTTTTCCATTTGTGTTCTGTTGAGTGTGGTGTAGTCATCCTGCACTTCTGCATACATGTATTGTTTATTTATTTTGAACAAAATTTATAAAATCAATGTATCCGATAAGTTAACTAAAACAACTGCGAGGACATTTTTACCCAGTATGAAATTCCTTACAATATTCTGTATAAAAAATGTTGTCCTTGGGGTTTGGTGGTATTTTTTAGTTTGTTTCGTGTACTGTTTCTTTCAGTTATTTCAATGTAAACTATAGTTTATTTGACTGTTCATTTTGAAAATGTACTCGACACAAACTAGGTCTTTTCGGGACTCAAACTAGGTCTTTTCGGGACTAACATATGGTTCAATTTTATTTCAATAATTTGTTGGCGTGTAGGGGGTTTTTCGTAGGAAACCGGAGGACACAGAGAAAACCCACGAAGTTGGACAGGCGACCCTACACCTCATCCCGTACAACTGGGGAATCGAACTCACACCAGTTGACTCAATTTTGAAAATGTACTCGACACAAACTAGGTCTTTTCGGGACTAACATATGGTTCAATTTTATTTCAATAATTTGTTGGCGTGTAGGGGGGTTTTCGTAGTGGGAGGAAACCGGAGGACACAGAGAAAACCCACGAGGTTGGACAAGTGACCCTACACCTCGTCCCGTACAACTGGGGAATCTAACCCACACCAGTTGACTCAATGACAGACCTTGTGATACAACGCGCACAAGCTAACAATTCGGCCATTCAATCCAACGGATCATGATAGACTCCTCTAATAATTAGTTAATGATATCCCATGAGGTCTGTTAATTATCGTCAATATCATTAAACATTTAACGTCAGCTGGAATAAACACTGACTAATTCTGTACTCATCGTTTTTATTCAGATTGGTCAATTTACACTTAAAGGCTCTTGACATAGAAATGAGTGGCGATCGCTTGCCGAGCCAGTGTAAACAAATACTTGACACTCAGTCAAAAGGCTGATTTAGTAATCTGGTCGGAGAACGGGACATGGTTAGACATTGATTACTGATTGGTCAATTGATCTCTGCTCCCAGCAATCTCTACTCGAAGCCCGTCGTAGTCAACAGCGTGAAAATGGTTAAATACACACGCAGACCACTAGAATTGATTGATAACAGCCAACAGATACGTTTGTTCTCTAAACATGGGCAACATATATCCATTAAGAGGGATCATCACAACATTTCATGTCTACGATTAAAATCGAAGATGTTTTCGTCATGTTTAACATCTGGGGTAGATGATCAAATACATGTAGCAGAAAGAGACGGAGAGAAATCAGGTTTAATGTCCACTTGACACAAACTAGGTCATTTGGGAATTAACATATGATAACAATTTTCTTTTAATAATTTGCTTGCGTGTAGGAAACCGGAGGACAGGAGAAAACTTGAGCAATAGATGATGATGATGATGATCATGATGATGATGATGATGATGAGGAAGATAAAGGTGCACCATGAAAGAAGTTTTCTTGTTATTTTAAAATCTAGAGTACATGTACAAATGGAGAAAAGAAGGACGATAAACCAACCCTTTTTCATTTCATGTGTACACCCTTCATATAGCAATAGATGGTGAAGACTATGATGAGGTAATGCCGATGGCATGGTTTTGATTCCCCAGTTGTAGGTGACAAGGAGTAGGATCGCCTTCCAACCGTGTGGGTTTTCTCCAGGTCCTCCCGTTTGCTCTCACTGGTAAAGACCCCTATGCACAAACGAATTATTGAAATAAAATTGAACCATATGTTAGTGCCAAAATGACCTAGTTTGTGTGAGTGGACGTTAATCTCTCTCTGTTCTTTTATTATAATTACAAGTCTGATGGCACAGAGTTGAAAATGTCAGAACTGACAAATATGATTGAAACACGAACCCTGCGCTACAGATTTGGTAAAAATAAAGGAAAGATGAGGATGAAATCCTCTCATAAAGTAATTTGTTTGAAATATCAAGCAATGGTTTAGAAGTTTAATCTATAGTCTAGACACATCAATGGTCGACTGAACAAAGGGTGATGCTGCGGATATACAACGCTTAAATCACCTCTTTATACCTCATTAACAAAATGGATGAATGGTTAACATTAGTGATGGCTTTCATTCTCCTGGTCAGACTCATCATGTAGGGTCGGAAAGGTGATGTCTGTATTTGCAATGAAGAGATGTCATTAATTTTCGATAGTATAAAAGAAATTAATCGCAAGATGGAAAATATAGCAAACAGAACTTTCTGACATCTAAAGGAAAGTAGTCTTGATTAATTTTGTACGTAATTTCTAAGACTAAAAAGTTGGGGGGGTTTTGATAGTAATGATAAAAGTGTAACAGAAGTTGTTGGCTATTTGTAATATAAATTTCCTTCAATACAAAAGTAGGAAATATTAATCTAACTCTATGTTAATAACTTTCAGAAAATCTGGGAGATTATCTGAGAATTTTATAAAAGCAGAAGCTCTGAGACAATATGTGAACCACTTCCTCAAAACCAGGCTCTTAGTCATCTTTATGAAAATAGAACTGGCAACATATTTGAATACTCCACAGCCTATAAACTTTCCAAAAATGCAATTTTATTTTAAATTTTAAATTTGTCGTATCATCTGGAGTTTGGCTCATTCACAGCAACAAGAAGGCATACGGTTTTTGCTTTTGTGTCCGTAGTACAAAATGAAGTTGTGCGACAAATGCCTGGTTTCGTGGGAACGGGTCACATATTTCTACTCATTTAGGTGCATACATAAATAGGATTAAAATGGAGTGAGGTCAAAAATCATTTGTTCAACTTTATTTCAATGAATGTCAAGGGAGAAAAATATCTGGTGGGTCCCCTCCCCCTTCTCCTCTCTGCTGGACATGTGTCTCAAGTGTCTATTTTCAACACCGTGCATAGTTTATTTGGAGACATAATTCACAGAATTTCATATTCATTACTTCATTGCAAACAAACAGAAATTGCTTTCAAAAGTAGTCAATCATCAGTAATAGGGAGAAAAACTAAAAATATAAAAGAAAAAAAAATCTCTTTGCTTTCTTTTCATCAATCAAAAACACATGATCTAAATGCCCCACTTTGGACAAATTAATGATTTTGTTTACAGCAATCCAAGACCTAACATGTCGCTGATCAGAAGCCTGACGAACTTGTTTGCATGTCCGGTCATTAATGAGTTAAGCTCTCTAAGTTGGCTTTGCCCTATCTCTACCTTCAAAAGGCAACCAGAACCATACTTCCTGAAAGATACGTTACCATGGAAACGTACAATTTTATAAATGAAAAAAAACTTTAGTTCCGGAAATATTTACATCATCTCTGATTTGATCTTTAAAAACACTAAGTTCAAAGTGAAGATTATTTTTATTTATTCATCATTGATTTTGCCATCTCATTTATTCCTATAAATCAATGGAAGTGAATTTATTTCATGTTTTAAACTCAAAAATATTTTATTTTATCCCCTGTAATATTTGTGACTGTAAAAGCATCTACTCATCTGGGGCCTTATTCTCCAAAATCTAAAATATTTGAAGAATTTGTCTATTTCATTGGCCAAGAACTAAACTTTGCACTTGGATTTAAACTCACAAACCAATGAAAAGGCCCTAGACTTACAATATTTTAGTTTTTGTGAATAAAACATATTTGAATCGCTATAGACAGTCCTTAGCCATATATTATCAATAATTCATTCCTTTTTATTTTCATGTCATTATGAGTTCACAGAAAACCATATCCCGCCATATTTGAGCAGCGATGGCATTTTGCTGTCATTATTTGTCAAAATCATTCTGTTGAATTTGATGAATAACAATCAGAGGCCATGTGACAGAGACAATAACACAGTTAGCATCATGGGTTTAGAGTTTTTGGTCCCCATTCCTAACCCCCTCTGGAACTAGTTACGAGTTCACAGAAAACCATATCCCGCCACATTTGAGGAGTGATGACTTTTTGCTGGTAATTTTGATGACTATAAGATCAGAGGTCATGTGACAGGGACGCAATAACACAGTTTGCATCATGGGTTTAGAGTTTTTGCACCCCACCCCTACCCTATCCCCCTCTGGAACTAGAAAGTTTTTTGAGAATATATATCAGATTATAAGTTAAACCAGCAAGTTTTGTAAAATCAGAATTGGAACATCTTAACGCAGAGGTTTAGAGTTTTTGCGCCCCCTCTCCAATGAAATAAAAATAAAAAAAACAAAACATGTAGTTTCAATGCACAGTTTTCAACGGTATTGGCACGCAAACATATACCGTAGTTCAGATGTGCTACAAATCAACTCAAGCATGTTCCACACAGCCCAAAACTTCTTGGCACAGGGGGGACTTAAAAATATGTACTTAAAAATATTGGGGTTTTGTGCCCCAAAGAGATCTTGTGCTTCATGCATTCTCAGCAATCCTCACACCCCTGTTGACAGTGGGCCAGACGCTGCTTTTTTAAACCTATCAGGAAATATACAAAAACTATTGTTTACAGAAAGTCATGTGATTAGTATATTGTGGGAGGTCACATCACTGATAAGCTGCTTGCCTGTCAATGAAATGTGGAGATCTCCAACCAGGATTTGATTAACACCCCCAAACTGATCAACTAATATCGTCTTGTGACTGGCATATACACAGAAAGACAATAATATGGGACATACATTTAAATTCAGACCTTGTAATTCCTTGAGCGAGTTTTTAACGATGATAAGTTGTCACATTGCTTCAGGCGCTGTTCTTGTAATTTCAGGATCCATAAAAGAGCACACAGGCGAACCATAGCACGTTCATGACGACCATTTAGATAACCTTCCACTGGATTTGAACTCATCCTAATGAGATTCC